GGCTTAAGCTTTGACAGCTGTGTCTGTATTATGCGTTAGACCACTTGTAATTCTGTAGAGTAATCAGGTGGGTCGACTTTTGATTGCGAATATATGTTTGGAGCTTTCCTTAGACTTATTCATCGGGGGTGGTAAGGGTCGTTATCGGAGCCATGTGACTGTAGAGTACAGGAAAAATACGGAAGTGATTGGCGTTTTGAGGTTCTGGAACGGTCTGACAAGTGAAGCACTTACCGAAGCCGTTTTGAAGAGACTGGGCATCGCCTCTCCCTAAAGCAGGGAATATTGTTAAGATACTGTAGTTCAAAACAAATATCGATGTTCATTACCTTCAGGGATGCGCCACGTTTTCAATTCCTGCCCCTGATTTTTCTGAAATTTTTCGAAGGTGTATTCTACCGTTATAGGAAAATATGACTAGAGGAACTAGAGGGCACATATTTCAAATAAGCGAATCCCATTCGAAGTTTGCTCTTAAGTATTCCATCTGCTTCGAAACGATGGAGTGCTTAAGTCACCGACCTGAGGTGTTATCCAGCTACTCATTTCCTGGCCCATGAGTCATGTCGGACTACTTCTTTTGATAGAAGCATTACAACGTTTATCTATCTACCTGTATAGGAGTACGTCATGATTCTGCAGGCTATATACTTCTGGGAATGTAATTTTAAGGTTCTACAAAAATGAATTTGCAGATCACATTGTAGATCACAGATGCACAAATAGGTGACCAGATGGCACCGTTTGCTAGACAGTTCCATTATTGATCCAAATTCGTTCTTGACGTGAATCATTTCAGACTACTTCCAACTATCATCCATCATTTATTTCTTTTCTTTCCTTTTACTCTCTCACTTTCTGAATGGAAATGATTTTGGTAACTTGTAAGTATGCTATGGTTTTTTTTTACATTTTTGTTGTTTTTGTTGATTGTTTCCAAAAAAGGTTAAAATAATCTATCTTCCTTCGGTCTGGTAGTTCTATTTTGCTTTTTGACATGAATTTTTACTTTATTAAGTTTTTGTAAAGAGTAGAGCTTCAAGTTTTCGCAACTTTGTTTCGTTACTTTTTCGTTATGGAGTTTGTGTCATTTCACTCTTCACCTCTTCACTTTGGGCAGTACCCTTACCTGATTTAATATGAAATCCACGACATTTCAATTTCTCCTTTGCTTTTAATCATACTACAAAAGTAAGGCAATTCTGGAAAACTTCTACAATGTATTCTTGCCACAGTAGATAGCCAATGCAGGCTTTCTATCTTCACCATACTCGGATCCCCTCCTTGCTCATACGAAATTCTAATGGCGAAAACAAACAAAAAAAGTTTTTTTCACTGATGCCAGTTCACATACTTTGCCAGGACTGTGATAGAGGTAGGGGACAATAAGGGATGAGGGTAAATTATTCCCCGTAGTGAAAGGTTCAAAATGCTTCCTGTCTACCTAATGTTGCCCCACTTTACCTTGTTGATTCTTTGATAATCTAATAGTTTACTCAACTTCCAACTGAGAGTATGAATGGGTTAGGGGCACGTACTTTCAGGGAGATATTAGAAGAGGTAGTCGTGTAGAGAAAGGGTCAATTTTTTGCTATCATTTCGTTCTCCGATTTTCTTAGCAATTTATTCAGAAGTTTATAAACTTGGTGTTTTTATTTCCGTTTGTTGTAGAGACAGGCGACATACATGAGGTCACTTCGTCCCTCCGTATCGAGTATGCCACCACATCCGTAGGTTGTTTCTTTGGGAAGGTGGCGAACCTGAAATTGTACCATTTGATAATTAATGAGCGACATCCACCCATTGGATGTGTTCTCGAGAAGAGATAATTTGCAGATGGACGTAGGTTACAATGAGAACGCACCCTTCTGCATGGGTACGGGAGGGAAGGCAACATTTACCGGTTTGAAGAGATTATTTAGACTCAAGGGATGACCCTTCAGCTCTTTTTTAAGCAAGAATCCATCATGAAAGTACAAGAGGAAAGATACGTAGGGAGAAAATGGAAGAATCTTGAGCGCTCTTTTGAGACGTTTAAGCGAGCAAGTTGCATATGTTTTTTGAATAGCATGACCAGAGAAGCCGAAAGCCTGATGTTTATTCCTGGAAGGCATGAAAAACCACTTAAAACCATTGTACCGAAGTTCTGGACAATTGTGAGGTAAGGGGGTGGAAATTTTAATCTACTGAGTCCATAGAGGCCAATGCTACATTGTTCTCCGGCGCTGCCAATAAACCGCATAACCCCTGACAGCGCTTTCTTTGACTCCACGTTGGCAAATTTGAGGTAAGCTTTGAATGAGTTCTCATCTGCAGTATGTCTTTGCTGCGCCGAGACGAAGTTTTTGTTTAATCCAACTCACTCTGGTTCCCATTCTGGTAAAAGGATTCCTCAGAGTTAAACGCAATTTGTCCGCCAGTGTTGATTTATCTTCCTTTGAAAACTCCCTGAATGTTCAAGATGATTGTCAGGAGGTAGAAAATGTCTTCAAACCAGCAATACCAACTTGTGCCCTCTGATCTTCAAATATGCTCCTTCACTGTATTGCGTTAGTGCTTCATCCGCTGCCTTGGCTGCTAGATCAGCATCCCATTTCTGAATGTCATTTCATTGAAATTTTGAACTAGCGTTGATTACACCATTCAGAGGTAAGCTCCTCTTCCTACTACAAGTCAGAACTGTACAGACTTTGGCTCATACAACGAAACTCGAGGGCGGCTGAAATCATTGCTCATATTCTTCTATACTAGCCTCGCAATGATTCTATTGTCTCAGAAAGATGAGGGGCTATGTAGTTCTGGGTGGGTATCGATCGGGAACCGAAATCCTGGACCACACTCGTATTAGTAGGGCCCTTTGGCAGTAACTTACCACCACCAATTAATACAAGAACGAAAAAGGCTGTGTCCTGGCATCAAAGGAGCACCCAACTGTGCCTATTAAAAAGACTGACCAGGTGTGCATTGTGCTGTTCATTGATCTCCTCGAATGTACTTTTCAGATCCGGAGGCAGCTCGTGATCCATACCTGAAGGGAGTAGTTTTTCGTGAGCGTTGGAGCAGCCTTCTTATCAAATGTGTGTATATTAACGGTACTTTGGTATGATACACACATTGGTGATCACTTACCGTGAGCTTCATGATTCGCTAGAGTAATGATTAGCAGTGTAATAACGAGGAACATTTTGGTTGTGACGACCACGTTTGATCAAATCCATGTCCCCAATTTATACTCGATTATTCTGGGTAAGCAGCTCTCGTTCTTTATCATAGGTGACGATACATGCTGTTGAAGCTTTTGTTCTGAATTTCATGTGATAACTCAGCTGCCGTCAACTGAGCTCTTTTTGTGTCACCTTTTTTTNCCTGAATCTGTAGATTTTGCTCTTTTGTTATACAATTGTTGGGGGATGAAATCATGGTTTCTCTCCATGCCATATCCCTCTGGATCTGCGTATGTCTCCCACTTACAAGATTACAGGATACACGTTTTGAGAGAAAATGCGAAAGCTCGAACACATACTGGCGTAATCATCCTTCGGGAATGTTTGTTGTTTGTTTCTTCTAGAATTTTCTGCCATAGGTGGACATAGGCGATATCAAAACGCGTCACCGAAAAGTCACCGTTTGATACAGCCTATGTCCCTGGCGTGCAGAAGATGTCTTGTAGAGACAAAAGGAAAGAACCTCACGTGTTAACTATAGTACCGATGTTATCTGTTCGATCTTGCCTTTTTTGTCGCGAAGCGCATCTTGTAACTGGGCGAAATTCGTGGATTCAGAGAAAGGGTAGGATAAAAAGCTTTGCTTTTATTTCTCAACAATATGCACAACTAACGAGCAAAATCTATTGACTTAGGGTGGAAAGGTGGTATAAAAAGAGGGCAGCTGGGTTATCGACCAAAATTCAAAACAAAAGCTTTGACAGTATGCAGACGTCACCTATGTTGAAGAACGAGATTTGCTTATGCAGAGTTATGAAGTATAAATTCGGGGGATGGGATGTGAACAAACATGGCCGTCATAACCGAAATGTCGTTTTTAATCTAGAGCACCATTTTTCGAGGAATTTTTGCTGAACCGGTTGCCCTGAACCTTCCTTTCAGGGCTCCGCCACGACCTTCCTTCGGATCTGAAAAATGCATCGAGGAGATCAATGAGAAATACAACAGCCCTAGTTATACTTTTCAAGGATTCAACCGGTTGACATAAATGACCTCCATGGCATCCTTCAGCACTTTCTTCCTTGCTCATTTCGGTAGTTGTAAGTTATTGCCAAAAAGCTGCTCCTTCAAGTATGGACTAGTAATCGAAGCGCGACTAATACCCTTCCAAGGCAATCAGGTCCTAATCTCATGCGGGCTAGTTCAATTGGCATGAGACTAGTGCTATGATAGAACATGCGTATTGATTCCGGCAATGGCTAATAATAATAATTCATTAACAGATGGAGAACATTCCCAAACCTAATACAGTCTTAGCGGAAGTTGGATCCTATGATGATTCTAGTCGACGCGAGGGAAGGGATCTTTGGTTTGTATGTTATTAAAATGACATTCAGAAGTGGGATGATGCTTTGGCGGCTAAGGCAATAGTGGAAGCAATCAGGCCAGAGAGTCATGGAGATTATTTCATGATCAGAAACGAAAAGGTGGTATTTGCTGTTTCGCGAACGTCTTCTAACCTTGAGAAAGCATTCTGAAAGTTTAGGCTCCTCCCAAAGAGGTATACAGGACCGCTGGAAGAGGAAGTACGCTTGATTCGGTTAAACCTTTCGAAAGAAATGCAGATGAGGTAAGTTAATTTTATAGGGAACTCTAATCATGAGGAACACTGACGAGAGAGAATGTATCTGTCCCAATTGAGTGAAAATGCATAATCCCTGCGATATCTGATGGAGAACGTTGAACGTTCCCTTCTCTATCTGAATCCTTTCCAATGGGCTCATAATCACTGCCCCCTACGACACACCTAATAACTTTTTTCTCTCAAAACCACACTGAAAGCTCAAGTCTCAAGACCACGCCTTCAATTAGTATTATACCATATAGCATATTTTAGCTTCGCCAACCTCCCGAGGGAACAATCTACGAATGTAATGGAATATTCGACTTCAAGACAATGCCACGCGAGAACCTCCTGTATGTGGCCTGTCTCTATAAAACCCTCAGCTAATTGTAAGAACAATGCGTTCCTAATTTTCTCAATAAACTTTCAGTGCAATTGTGAAGCAGAGAACATCAAAAATTAGCCCAACCCGATAAGATAAACACAGCCTGCACTATCCATAGAGAAGTGCTTTGTTGGTCTTTGACTGAGCAGGGTCCAACATACGAGAAGAAAGTGTTAGTGCGCCTCGCATCAAAGATTTACAGGACCGTAATACGGCCAGTAGTGACTTACAGTGCGGAGTACTGGGATACAACCAGAGAAAATGTGGTCACGCATTAGAGTGTTTCTGAGCAGTTCCTGTTGCCTATAAATTAGGCGCTCGACTTCGATGATACTGCCACATAATGTCCCTTCCGTGAATAAGAGCTGTGTCACAAGAGCGGGCTCACATTCGACTTGGGAACGGCTCGGAAGATATCCAAAGCAAAGATTCCTCTATGCTTCGCATGAGGATTTGATTGGCCTTCATCTGACCTTGCGCCTGAACAGTCGGGTAAAATAGAGAGAGTACACCTGAAAAGCCGACCTCGATTTCAAATGGAGCAAAGCTGAAGAATGAAAAGAAGACGAACTAGCCCTTCTTATAGGCTATAATTACAACAGTGCAGATGTTTGATCAAATGCATTATCGCGTTTCTAAGCTGTTCTAATAGCGTAATCACAGATAATGTATCAGTTACTTTGTCTCAGTGAAGGCTTTCTTTGAGAACTCAGTAAGTCTCATGTCTCACTCATGATTGCATGGGGACCGTTTTCACGACGGCAGGATTACATCCTGTAGGTCTTCTTAAAAGTTAACCGCTATGTTGTTCAAGGACACTTGCTAATTTCAGTGATTTTTTTTGCATATTAGTTCTGCCTGTGTTCCCCCAAGCTGAATGGAATTTAAAAGTATCCAAATTACAACAATACAATGAACTTTAGTCAAGATTGCGTATAGAGTACAGTTTTCAAGTGGGCATGATCAAAACCTTGTGAGTCTGCTTCCTATTTATACGGCTACTTCAAAATCCGATACCTGCTGATCTTTGTGATTTTTTAAAATATCGTTCTGCCTGTATGCTCTAAAGAAATTTGTTCAAGTTTCACCACATAGTCAACTTTTCCCTTGATCTATTGGACTTATAACAAGAAGTCATGCAACAAGGACTTTTCTGTATCCCGCTTTTTTATTACTTTTCCACCAACCAATCTTTATTACTTCTTCACCAATTATGAATAATTTCACTTGGGCTCACCACCTATCCGATTTCCCACTCAGCTCACGAAACATAGACTTTATTCTTCTCGAATGCTCATTCCGTTGAACTATATTTATCTAGTTTGAACGATTCTATTTGAAATTCGTGGGTGGCTGCCTTCGACAATTCATATTCAATCAACCCACGATTGCAGTAGTACACAGTACGCTGGAGATGAAGCCACACCCAGTTCTACTCTTACAGGGAAGGTCTTTCAGGGGTGGGACGCTGTTCGAAAATGGTTTTTTGCATGGTGTAGGGGCATGAGCACTGAGTATATAACTATGGTCCATTTCCGCTAAATGGCTTTCTAAATGCCAAAAAAGGAGTGAAAATAATTTTGCCAGAAATTTTCGTTTTAACCCACTAAGCGTCATTCGTTTCATTCATGGCGTCGACTGTACGCACTATAGAAGGGCCACTGGAGGCGACATTGAAAATAACGTGAACGGTAGTCAAAAAAGGGACCCACATGTTGAAAAGTGCGGGGAAGTTTCATATAGGCTCTCCAC